AGAGAGAGAGAGAGAGAGAGAGAGAGAGAGAGAGAGAGAGAGAGAGAGATATTAAACAGAATGGAAAGCCCTGAGATGAACTTCAAGTATAAACAAGGAGCTAAAAACAGCAAACAGATCAGGGACCAACAATTTATATACAGATCTGAGAGGTTTTTATGTAAATTCTACATAATGTATTAGAGTTTTCCAATCAAACAAAATCTCTATATGTGGAATATGCATGAGCAATATATAAGCATATATGTAGTTTCAAAAATATGAAGTCATACCTAGTTGCTAAAACAAATGAAAAATCACATTTGATCCATGCTCCCTGGTTGTTTAGGTCACAAAAAGCAAACCAAATTCTTCCATATATATAAAGGCATGTATTTATGTATGTTAGAAAAAATATCAGAGGGAGTCTTTATATGCTCATGACATTAGGAGATTGAGAGTTAGGGAAGGCTTCTTAGACAAGACCAACAATGGGTAGCTGAAGAAGAAAAGATAGCCTTGTGGATATATCAAAATGTGCAACTTCTCACACATCATCCCAGCTCTCAGAAACTCATGCAGGAAGGTCAAAAGTTTGAGATCAGCTTGGTCAAATTAGTGAAATCACAGCTTAAAAAAATAATAAGAGTAAAAACAAGGTCTTTTTTCCCTTTTTTTCTTTCTTTTTTTTTTTTTTTTTTTTTTTTTTTTTGAGACAGGGTTTCTCTGTGTAGCACCGTGGCTGCCCTGGAACTCTCTTTGTAGATCAGGCTGACCTCAAACTCACAGAGATCCACCTGCCTCTGCTTTCTGAGTACTGGTACTAAAGTTGTGTGTTACCATGCCCAACAAAAAACTCCTTAATGATAAGGCACAGGAAATTGAGAGCGCCTGACCTGACACTAGTCATATCACAGCCCTCCTTACCATGGAAATACAATTTTGTTCTTTTTCTTAATGATTTATTTTTATTTAATGTACATTGGTATCTTGCCTGCAAGTATGTCTGTGTGAGGGTGTCAGATCCCCTGGATCTGGAGCTCAGATCCCCTGGAACTGGAGTTGTGAGCTGCCACATGTATGCTGGGAATTGAACCCAGGTCCTCTGGAAGAGCAATCAGTACTCTTAATCACTCAGCCATCTCTCCAACCCCAACCAAGTTGTTCTTAAAAATTAAATACACTTAAATGTATTAATAGACGAATGGAAGGTACAAAACAGTTAAAATTCACAAGACAGAAAACCTGGGTGGTTAAGGTTGTTTTCATCCCAATGGTTTTGCCAGACTAGGTGAATTCTGGATGTATTCCCTTGCTCAGGTGGGACAGGACTTTAATGGAAGTCAAGGGTCAATTTCCACTGCTGTAGAGAGCTGAGGCAATATCAGGCCATGCACTCACCACACAAGTGACTAAGAAGTGAGTGCTCCCACCCCCACATCCTGCCCCGGAGAGAAGGGGGAGAAATCTCTCCAGTCAATTTTATAAAGAGAAGAGACCTTCCTCAACTCATAGGGCCTGAGACATCAAGAACTTCTCTTAGCCTAGAATCTGACAGGTACTTAGCAGAAGTAAATCAAGCATTCTCCCATCCACCACAAGAATAGTGCTTTCCACTCAAGTCTCTAAGCTCCCATACCATGAACATGAGGGATTCAGATGCTGGAAGTGAGAGTTAATAAGTAAAACAGGCAGACATGGAGGCTTCAGACATTGGGATCTTCAAGAGCAAATTCAGCAAACTCTAAAATGTGATTTAAAAAGAAAAGGATTGTGGGGTTGGGGAGATGACTAAATCAGAAAGGCAGTTGCCATGCTAAGCACAGGAACTCACTCAGTTCAGATCCTCAATACCAGCACAAAAAGTCTGGTGCAGTGGGTAGTGAGAGTCTGCAGTCCCAGAGCTGGGGAGGTAGAGACAGGGAACTGTGCTGGCCAGACAGCCAAGCTGAATTCATGAGCTCTAGGTTCAGTGAGAGACCCCACCTCAAAAGATGAGGTGGAAATACTCTGAGTAAGAGGCTGGATAGAAACCTCTGGCCTCCATATGCATGCATATACATACAGCACACACACACACACACACACACACACACACACACACACACACACACACACACGTTTGAAAATAAAAATAAAGAGCAAGAGAACAAAGCAGACTTTTACCAAGCAGGTCTGAAAATTAATTAAACTTATTGGAGATAAAACAATATCTATGAACAACTACATTTAAGTATCAGTAAACCTTCCTTGCAAGATGGCTCATCAGGTAAAGGTGCTTGCCACCAAGCCTGACGAGCTGAGTTCCATCCTCAGGACCCACACAGTAGAAGGAGAGTGCCTGCTCCGTACATTGTCCTCTGACCTCAACAGACACAGAACAAACAAATACATGTAATAAAATATTTAAAAATCAGACCAATAAAGACAGGATGTCAATGAAGAAGAGGCCACACAGGAGGCTATGGACTTTCTGGTCAAGATGAGAGAACATTAATTAGATCTATATCTCAAATAAAACCCTGGACAAATGTATAGCCTGATGGACATTGTGTGAGGAAGCTATTGCTCTCTAGAGCAGAGTCTCATGAAGATTCCCTCTCAAGGCTTCCTTCCACTTACCAGGGAGATGGTCTCCAGGCTGAACACTATAGGCTGAAAAGACCATCCTTCTCCCTTTCTCTATTGATTTTCCTTAAAATCTTATCAAAAGTCCCTCTCCACCTTATTTCTCCAAGCAGTCTTTGTCTATTCTGATAGAAGTACTACATTGTCTTGAATTCATCAGCCTTATATAGAAAATCCTGGGGTTAGGTGGTATAATCAAAATGGTGTAATATTTGCATCAAAATAGACAAATAGGTCACGTTAGGGCAACCAGGTGGCTACCTGCAAAACTCAGAGCATCTGTCTATAACTCACACCATAAATAAAAGGCAGAATTTGAAAAGGCTGGAATTTGAAACCTAAGGTGAATGACAGAAGAAAATGTGTGATCATGGTTAGTAAGAGACTTCTAAGTTCTCCCACTAAGCACATGCTCAATGGAAGGGAAGAGAGAAGAAAATGAGTCATTAAAATTAAAGATGGTCACTCTGTTATGAAAATAAAAGTGGTAACTAGAGATATAGCACAGTGGTAGACCATTTGGCCAGCATTTGTATGGCCCTGGGTATAATCTTAAGCACCCAAATAAACAAATAAACAAACAATTAAAGAAAGAGAACTATCTGGGCCAAGCATGGTAGGTAGTACATGCCTATAGTCCCACACCGAGATGACTGAGACAGGAGGAACATAAGTCAAGCACTTGTCTCAAAAAACTTAAAATATTTAGGCAGTCAGGTTGGTGAGACCAGAAAACAAGCAAGTAAGAGAGAGAGAGAGAGAGAGAGAGAGAGAGAGAGAGAGAGAGAGATGATAGATAGATAGATGATAGATAGATAGATAGATAGATAGATAGATAGATAGATAGATAGATAGATAGAGTAGATGATTGATAGATACATGGTTGAATGGATGAATAAATGAGATAAATGACTGACACTATATGAATGGATAGATGAGACAGATGACAGACACATAGTGGACGGATAAATGGAAGGATGGAAGGATGGATGGATGGATGGATGGATGGATGGATGGATGGATGGATGGGATAGATGACTGATATATACATAGGTGGATAAGTAGATAGATAGATGAATGAATAGATAAGCCACTGCTTTAGTACCATGTCTGCCTGCTTGGTCACTGCAAGATGGTCACTGACCCTAACTCTCTGGAGCCATGAGCCCCAAATAAAGTAGTTCCTTTTATAAGTTGCCTTGGTCATGGCATTTTATCAAACAATTAAAAACTAAAACAAGGCCCTTGCTTAGAATTTCCTTGCTGCCTTTTGCCCAACTCTACATGTTCACCTTTAAGGCACTTATAAAGCACTTCTCTAATAGAGATGCCCTCTCTTGGCTCCCACAAGGTCAACTATTAAGATCTCCAAATTCAAGTGTCTTTGGAGGTAGGCATAAACACATCTAAGAAACATGGATGAAAATCCAGTGCTAGAGAGAGATGGGGACTGAGACATTTACAAAGCACAGCTCTCACCCTGCCAGGGTGGCTACTACTCCTCTTTGGCCACCCATGGCCACTCAAGAGGGCAAGCACCATGTTCTCAGAACTTCTGATAACTTGAGAGGAGTGGAAGATACAAACACGTGTGAAATCTGATTTTTATGATGTGACTGCAACTTTTAGACAGACCCCTAGCTTGATGGACTTGTCCCAAGAACTGCTGCTGAGCTTTTAAGGCCTCCTAAAAGATGTCCCTGATCTTTTCTAGAAGACAGTGCTTCTGAACGTTCAGAGAATTATCCCTAATCTTGGGATTGCTTCTCTGGATTTTTAATTTTTTTCCCAAAAAGCACATTTTCTTGCAAATATTAAAAATGTATTAAAAGTAATAATTACCACATACTCTCTCAAGACTAAAATTAGATTAATGTATTTTCAACCTGGTTATCTCAACTATTTACTGTGTTCCTGCCTTATAAAGACACCAGTAAACAATTACAAGGTCAGTGGTATCATGCTGGGTGGGCAATGGGCAATAGAGGCAGGTTTGGAGCAGCAGAACTTCAGACCAATGGAATAGGAGCCTCCCTCAGGGGGTAAGATGCAGTCAGAAGGTTTCTCTGGTCCGGCCTTGTCCCACCCAGCCCTGTGGTCCCACAGCTGCTTATAAAAAAAAATCACTCAGAGGCTTAATATTATTTACAAACTATATGGCCTATAGTAGGCTTCTTGCTAGCTGGCTCTTTTGTCTTAAATTAACCCATTTCTATTAATCTATGTTTTGCCACATATTCTATGGGTTACCAGTTCGCTGGCATGTTGTTCCTTGGGTGGCAGGGTGGCAGGGTGGCAGGCTGGCATCTCTCTCTGCCTTTCTTCTTCCTGTCTGTCTCTTGGATTTCCTGCCTGGCTTATAACATACCTCACCATAAGCCAGAGCAGCTTCTTTATTATCCAGTCATAGCAACACATATTCACAGAGTACAGAAAGACATCCCTCAGTAGTGAGCTGCCATTTGAATGCCACATTCAGTTCCTGGGTTCCTGAAATCAAGTCAGCATGGAAGGGGAAGAGAAGGCCACATATTTTACCTCTTGGAATGAAGCCTCAGTTTCTTCTGCTTGCTGTTCTCATGAGATATCTTCACCCTCCTATGGCACAGTCCTTTCTTCCACTGTGGACTGGATACCTGGTCCTGAGCCCTTGCCTCTGAGACTGCTGGGTAGGGAAGCTGAAAATACCAAGCATGTTGTCATCATGTCACTCAAAGTCCTCATGGTGGAGAACACCATGATGGGTTCTCTCTCTAAAGACAGGATATCTATCTATGAAAATTAAGACACCAAAATGTTGTATTATCAAATGGTCTGAGCCTGTGAGATATTCTTACCCAGCAACCAGTTGTATGCCACATGGAACCTTCCAGAACCATGCCTAGACTGGACCTCCAGTGGAAATGCTGGACCCTTGAAATGAGTGAAGAGTTACCTAGTGCCATAGTCCATATCACCCACCTCAGGAATCCCTACAATTTGGAGGGAAGAAATATAAACCAGACCTTGGATCACCACCCCTAACCCCTGGGGATTGCTTAACAGTCTCAGGTCCCACCCTTGTCTTTGTTCCATAAAGCCCAATTAGAACTGAGGCCTCGAGGCTCCTTTTAGCTTCCTGACCCATGCCATCTTCTAACAGGAGAAGACCTCAACCCTTTGAAGATGGGGCCATACACTCATGGCTCAATTCCCTGGAAAGACCCTCCTTAAACTTCTGTCACATTTTCCTTCTTATCATTGCTCCTAAGGACCTCAGAGTTAGATCTGAGACCAGTTACTGTGATGACATTAGAGTGATTTCTCTAGCGCACCCGAGATAGTGAGCTTCTCCATTTAAGAGCTTTCCTTAGTTTGTTCCATTTTTGTTCTGCTTTGGTTTTCTGTCTGAAGTTTATCTGTTAACATGAGTTTCTAGTTTCTGGGGAGATATATATATTTTTAAAAGTATAGTTGTGATTCTTAGATGACCTAGAGAGTTAAGGACGGTATGATTTGTTTGTTTGTTTTTGTTTTTTTGTTTTGCCTGTTACCAGGAATAGAATGAAGTTTTATGTCTAATCACAAATATCTTACCTGGATGCTCTAGTGAAATATTTCTTTGGGTGTGTGTGTGTGTGTGTGGTGTGTATACATGCGTGTGTGTGTGTGTGTGTGTGTGTGTGTGTG